ATGCAGTATTACTTCTGTTGGTGGGCTTTTGAGACTTGGATTATACTAAATGTGAATTTGATTTGAACTCCATGACAGTTCATGCCATTCAACCAGTAGATTGTGATAGAAGCATATCACGTATGGTCGATTTTCTTCACGTTATGCATGCCAAACCGAACGCAACCAGCTTGATACCTTATTATTTATGCAAATCCGAGCACCGAGACTGCTACTGTTGCTGACGGAATGTTCACCAGTAGCTTCAATCAAAGTCCGCGCAAGTAGCGTAAGAGAAAGACTTCTTTCACTTGCATACTGTTTTGTTTTTGTTTTTTGCACACAACATGCTGGCGTAACCACGTTGTTTGCATACTTACATAGTTGGTATGTTTCTCTTTTCTAGGCATCACAGGCGCCCACTGACTGACTCTCGGATATTGGACGCCAACGAAAAAATAAATTAATGGGAAAATAATTAATCAGCTTTTACCCGCGAGTGGCTTTCTACGTACAACGCTCTAGAGTCGCTGCTAGTCAAGCATGGTGATGATGATGATGATGGTCGGTGACTTACACCGGATTTGTTGGGTGAATTTATACATTAATGGGTTTGCTACCAACCTACTACCAAGCGAGAGAAACCAGGTGAAAAGGGTCGAAGGGAGACTTATTTACGCTCTCGGTTCGGAAGTGACCGACCAAATAGTGAAACTGATTAGGGGCAATTTTCTTTCCCACACCGACTGGCTGGGGAGCGATTAGATCCAAAGTGATTAAAAATCTTGACTGCTGGTTACCTATGGGGCAATGAAGTATCTGGTAGCTAGGTTTCGCTGTTAGATGCATGCATATGAGAGTGCGATTATGAGTCTATGAGCAAGCAACATGATGTTGGAGAAATATGGTGCAATACTCGGCGTTTGGTAGTGCTGTAACGCTTGTTTACGATTCAGGATGTTATGAAAATCACCTATCGGAAGCGAAGTTGATGAAAAATGGGATTTATTAAACTTTTGCATGATCTGACTAGGCCAACTAGTTTGACAGGGGAGCGCTTTGGTTGAATCCATTAACTGTTTTCTTACTCTTCTTTTTAACTATGACGCTCTTACACAAGTTTATACCTACTCTCAACTCAGTGGTCTTTGAAGTGCTTCGCAGTTTTTCATTGATAGCTTTCTATGCCACCCAATCGTCTGGCAAGTATAATGATACGCTACCCAACAAACATTGGAAGCGGAATAAGAACGTATTCAGGCAAAAATATGCTTCTTCCGCTCAAATTGTTTGTTGAGTATGCTCAAGGAAGTCCCGAAAAATTTTTTTTCCTTGATTTGTTTTCCGTTGATCTTGTTTTCCGTGCTGAGCACCAATGGTACCGACGCCAGGGAGGCAGCTCCCACACCTGTACCCTACCTATCGACCCATCAACTCATGAACCGGGGACCGAAGGAAGGCGTGATCAGAGATGTTATGCCTCAGAACATCCCGGCGGCGCCAACTGGGATTGAACCCAGGCCTGCTGGGGTGAGAAGTAATCACGCTTACCACTACACCACCGGCACCGCTAAGTCCCGAAAATGTCCAACCTGAAATATCTTTAAGACCGGACCGAGAATGGAACCCGCGGCCTCCAGCTTGTAATACCATGCCTTAAAGACGAAATTTACGGCCCACTTCTATCCACTTCGCACTGACTACCATAACCATTACCATTGAAGTTTTCAAACCATAAGTAAAAAGGTTCTAATATAGTTTTCTTTCCGAAAATGTGTGGAGAAAACAAGAATTTTTAATGGTAATGGTTCTTAACAACGCATTTTTTGTAAGGTCCACTTCCAAAAAACCATAATACATAAGGTTAAAACTTTATCACACAAACGTTCATGTAAAGTTCCATATCCATTTCAAGTTTAGCAGGGATTATAAACAATTTTTAACCATTTTCGGCAAGGTCAAGATATGGTTCGCGTTTATGCGGGTTTGATTACTGAAAAATCCTGTTCCCCTAGTTTGAAGTAGTCAGGACTAGGAATCGGTGGTAACGTACCGTACCACGAAAAGGTGATCTACCCACGTTACGCACGCGAAAGAGTACCAACTCTTTTAAACTTTCTTTTTGTTTTTTTTCCTTGATTCTTTTCCGTCGATCTTGTTTTCCGTGCTGAGCACCAATGCTACCGACGCCAGAGAGGCAGCTCCCACACCTGGACCCTACCTATATACCCATCAACACATGAACCGGGGACCAACGGCTTTACTTCCCTTCCGAAGGAAGGCGTGATCAGAGATGTTATGCCTCAGAACATGCCGGCGGTGCCGACTGGGATTGAACCAATCACGCTTACCACTACACCACCGGCGCCGCTATCTTTGAACTTTCATCGTACGACAAAACAATCATGGTATGTTATTTTGTATGTCCAGTACTATAGGGAAAAGGTGCGTTACAGTTGGTATATTACGCAAACAATTGATGTAATGTGACCCCTTTTGAGAGCTAACTCAACCAATACATTTGATAATTAAGCTGTAATGTGCAAGACCCATTAATCTTGATGTGGTTAGACAAAGATGACACACTAGCTCAGCGTCCACAACAACACTAGTAGACGAAGTCATGTCTAATGGACAGTTTCCAATTGATGATTGATTGAAACCGCCCAAAATGCTCATACTGACATCACACACATCCAGCTCGGTGCCGAAAGATGGGATATGAAGAGAAGTCATTAGCCTCGCTATTGTCTCCTCACGCTCACCTTGATTGATTGTCGTCACGGCGCTCGATTGTTATAAATCAGTAACTGTTGTCAAATGGTGACATTGTCTCAACTCGCTTAGAGAGCAGCATAATTTGGACTATATGACATAAAATACGTGACATAATGGCATGCAGCAGGCCTTTGAAGGTGTAAAGTTGTCATCGATAGTGTTGTGTAAAGGAGCAGAGCTTAATGCCCGACGTTACTTAACAGATATAGAAATAATACGCTTCAATCATAGTTACTAATAACTACCTATCATTACATGATCTTCCAATTAAATCAGCCCAAATATTCCCTGGCCTGTGGAGTACGCAACTGCTCAATTATGTGTGGTGCATTCTACGGTGGTTCGTAACCGCGGTCTTGCATGCAAATCTGCGCTAATTCGTTTCACTGAGCGGTAAATGGAAAACAAAAGGGCCATAAATTTGCTATAAGAACAATCTTTCCCATTCCCAGCCCGTGTGCCGGCAGCAGTAAACTCGTGAAAGAAAGCAATTTTCCTATTACCAGCCCACCGCTTTCTGTCAATAATATCCCATCACATATGCACCGTATCACGAGATCCGCTCTGATCTCACGTCGAACACCAAGTAGGCTGTTACAACCGTTCTTCACTATCTGCTTCTACACCCAATAGTAGGCTGGCCTAATGTAATCGGGTTAACACTGCTCGCAGTTGCATCTGGATGTAACACGCCAGTTGCGTGTGTTACAAGATCAAGTCGACCGCGAGACTTTTAATTATGCTCGCGTCTGACTATAACGACGAACAATGATGGGAATTGATTAGGTAGACCGTCTAGGTGGAGCAAATCTACAACATCTTATCTCCCGTGCCCGTTCGATGTGGATAAACTCGGCACCATCTCATCCCTCTCTTTCTGTCTCTCTGTGCAAGGATAGATTACGTATCTGATCACGAGAGCACTTTCCGCGTGATTTTAACCTATGAAGAAAGTTTGTAGACCTCTTCTAGGGTAGGTTGAGTGCATTTCGTTTTTTTATAAGACCTTGCATGCGCAGTTGATATGGATCTAGCAGAATTTATGCTCTCATGAACTGTTGATGTTGATGCAGCTTCATTAATGCTGCCCGAAAAAAAAAAGTTTAATTGCACTTGATTTGGTAAATAATTGTCGAGATTTGAGGACAAACGATAATCTTTTGAAGTTCATTAAAATAATTTTGATGTTTATGGATCTTGAATTATTCTCTTTATTCTTATGCCATAAGCGCAAATCAACGCGGTCATTATTCTGGCGGTGATTTGTTCGGTTTCTGCACTGGACGAGAATCTTTCCAATTCGAATATTTTCTGGATCGCTATCGGCATAGAATGTAATAGCAATAATCAAACTGAATTCGGTGTAGAAAGCACTTAAATGCATTTAAAAGTAATTTAAACTAAAATTTCTCTTCGCCTCGGAACCGCACTTTTCCCAACTTGTAAGCTTGAATACAGTACCTACGGTTTACGCACATGGAATACATTTGAAGCATCTTGCGGATGTAGCTAAATCACATGAACGGATATTCCCAGCCAAACTTTACTGCTCCTTCGGACGCTCGCCGCTAATCTGCCCCGGCAACTCAAGCATACATATAAAAAGCTGATGACATTCATATGGCGCTCTGCTGAACTGACGACGACGACGACGACGACGACGGTGGCGGCACAACCGTGAAACCCGAAACCACGTTCCACACGCGAACGTGATTGAGAGATTCAAGTCCGGGCTCCATCAAGGAGAAAAGCCGGGCAACAAAAATTGCGCGTGGTTCAATGTGCCCATAAAAGCCCATAATGCATGCACGACACAGGCACCCGTTGCGTTGCGTTGGTGTTGCAGTTGTCGGCAGTTCCAGTGGTAAAATAACCAGGAAGAATGTGAAATGGAACTGGAATCCGGCCCTCGAAGGTGATATAATGTATGATTTGTTTCAGTACCTGCCAAATTGATTTTCCGTGATTGAAAGCATTTGGCATTTGATTCCAAAAAGTTCAAACCTTTTACCAGGGTAAGCTAACTCCATCCAGTCATCATGCAGCGGTCGGCGGGCTTGCCTCCCTTTTTACCACTCACACGCATTGCAAAATTACGCTGTTTTTTTTTTGCCAAAATACCGTTCCTTTTGGCAATTACCCCAGAATGAGAACCAGAATTGGATCGTGTTTTGAATATCCGTCCCCGGACACGTTCACGTTCACACACACACAACTGGGAATTGGCCAAGAATGTCACTTACCTCTAGCGATTGCTGAGCGGAATTTATAGCAGCCTTTCTCTCCTTCTTTGCTCCTCCTCCTCCTCCTTGCAGAGCTGAAATCTCCTTCTTGAGAAGACCAATGCTTCGGTCTTTGGATTTCAGCTCCTCCAGCTGCAACGGAAAGGTGAAAAAGAAGCAGAACAACATAAAATTAGATGTTAACATAAATTACCGTTTCCCGCTGTCGATTCCGATTACGCCATAAAGTGACGAGATCAGTAGGTTAATAGAGTTAACGGAGTTTCGAGAGGAGTGATTTGTTCTAGCGAAAGGCGAGTAGAATTTAGATCGGGTATTAGAAAAAAAATGTCGGTCAAATTTACGCCACCAGTGCACACAGTGGGCAAATCTGACCCAGAGTCGCACTTATGCTGGTTTCAAGAGGTAGGAGATACCTGTTCTTATGTAAATAAAAATCCGATGGAATCGAATGCCACTGGTTTTATCGTACGCAGACTACCAGAAGTGCCCTATGTTGCCCATTTCTCCCCATTTTCTGATGAAATTAGAAGTTATTTTTTATATAAAATGTAGTGGATGTGGATATAGGTAATCAATAACAACTAATCTCAAAATGTGCTGACTAAAGAGATAGCCTATTTTGCCCCATTTTCCCCAAAACTTGTTATTCAAGGGTTAATTATTAATAGATTTGAAAACTGCCGCTAAATTTCAGACATAAAACAAATAATTTCTTAAGTAAAAAATTTTCTAGCGAATCGATTAGAGCTTGTATCGGATTGTGTAGACTTAGGGAAGTAGTTCATTCTGCCATATTTTCCCCAAAACTCGTTTTTTAAGGGTCTTCGGTAAAATGTGTAACGACAAATTGGCTACGTTTAAAAAATCATTGTTAAAAAATTTATCGATAGTTTTTAAATATATTGATTCCAAATAAATCTTTAAAGTATCCAGTTTCAAATGGCGAAGTGTTTTAAGGTGTCCTCCGAGGTGTCGATGGTACTTAAAGGATATCCATGGAACTCCCGAGCATCCATGTTTGATGCCATTTTGAATTTCAAGATGATGACTTCCAGTTAAAGACAAACTGGGAAACACTGCCAAATGCTCCACAATATGGGTATTTTTGGAATCGAGTTGACGTATATGAACCAGAATTCGATGTCTGTCGTCATTTTAGAATCCAATATGGCGGCTTCCGCTCTCAGAAATATTGGAAAATACTGAAAAAATACCCCACAATATGGGTATTTTTGGACTCGAGGTGACGTTTAGGGATCGAAAATTGATGTCTGACACCATTATGAAATCTAAGATGGTGAGTCCCGATTACATAAAAACTGAGAAATACTGTTAAATACCCCACATTATGGGTATTATTTTGAATCAGGGTGACGTGAAGGGACTGGAATCCATGTGTGATGCCATATTGAATTCCAAGAACACCCATTTTAGAATACTAAATTTAAAAATAACACCGGAAGGACATATCGAATATCTTGAAATTAATTGTTGCAGAAAATTAATCACGATAATAAAATCAAAGTCCTACCATAAGAGTCAGTGATTCAGTATGCGATGCTTCAACCCGACCAAGTCAGAACACTTCTCCATCGATCAGCCGAGGGAAAATAATGCACCATTCATAAGGATCATTACATTCCTCGCAGAACTGAACCCCAGACTTGGAGCCCCCAGTAGGCACTCTCATCCAACCAACAGAGGCGTGAGAATCTGCCCCCGGGTAAACTTGGCATGCACACAACAAATCGGGCATTTAGGTACTTCGAACCGTATTCAACCATCCGGCGTCGTCCGTCGAAAGACAGCAGCTAATTTCGTATTCTGTCTGGGCATGCACATACGTACGTACACAATGCAGAGAAGCTAAACCCTGCACAATTCATCTTCTTCAGCCCGCAATACAGGCAACACGAAGAACAAAACCACACGAGGGAGGAAAAAAAATCCCTCCAATGATTTGTTCTCCTTGATGCACTAACCTTTTTTGAACGGCGGAATCATACTGCTCGGGGCCATCCAAAACGATTGTTATGATGAGGATTCTTATGGTTTGCGATTTTTTTTTTCGTGTCTTTCTGGTAAGTGAATGGGAAGAGATTGTTGAATGCCTCACGGGCCCAATTCTGGTAAATTACAGAACACAGCAGTAAGATTCATTCATAATATCACTTAATTAAAGAATTTTAAATTTTTGAGGATTTGCAACGAAGCAGCAACACCCTAAAATAAAAACTTCGTTTTAGACACGTCTTCGGGATTTTTTCAAGGCATACAAAAGAGCCTCTAATAACAGCTTCATGCAACCGTCATAAATCGGAACGTGAATTCCAGAGATCATGCGAAACAAAGCTTGGAACAAGATCTCCGTGCTAGATATGGGAGCCCAACATTTAAGCAGGAATGACTCATTACTCATGGAGTCCCAAAGAGTTTAACATTTTTCGCGCAGCATCATGCCAGCGCGGTGCGGACCGTTGATAACACGCAGTTCCATTCATAAATTATACTCAATGAATTAGAAAGGCTGAGGATTGAGGTTTTCAGCGATTGAACCGGCATTGGCAGCTTGGGTGGTTTGGTATGTATAGGTAATGGAGCAGCATAGCATATTATTTGGGTTCACGTTGTTTTCGGTAAACCACAAAAATGTCTCCGGCGGTGCACTTACCAGTCGTTGGATTTCGCTTTTGGCCGACTTGGTGAGTTGAGTCAATCGCAGTTCGTGCAGGTCCCTTTGCACTCGAATGTCAGAAGCTTTCCGCCGTTCAGCCTCCGAGGAAATCTGTCGAAAGAAAGGGAGAGCAGATCAATGGAAATGCGATGCACTGCAAGCTGGAATTTATGATGGTTCCGATGATGAACAATGGACAATGGAATGAATCATCCTCGGTAGCATCGCATCGGTACTGGGTAGCTAAAGGAGGAAAACAACTTCACCAACATTGGATCATGCTTTATGCTAATGCGGCTGTCGTTTTTTGCTCCTCTAAGCAGCCAGGAAGTGTTGGTACATGAAACAATGAAGCAGCAACAAAACCAAAACAAAACAAAAAATAGCTAATCAGGTAGTGTTGTTATGGAAAGATGCAACATTTGTACATCGTCTAACGCACAGTCGCTTATGGATGTAAAGATGTAAGATGTTCATGATGGAAAATAGGTTCAACTAGAATAATTAACACTCATGAAGTGGATTAGGTACTCTTCCGAGGACAACACATTTAATTTTTTTTTTGCCGAGGTTTGCACAGCCAAGTGCTCAGCACTCCGTTTTACTGGTACCTCAGCAAAAGTAACGTTTGGTTGCTGAGTCTCGGAAAAAGCTTTGCTGAATCTCAGCAAACAAACGTCATGTTTGCTGACATCTCAGTAAATTTGATTGCCAAACACTCGTCTGTGCAAACAAACCTGTTCTGCTGATTACTCATGGTTATTCCAGTTACTCATAGTTAGAACAGCTTAATGCAGCCTCCTAACATCTTGACAGCTCCCATACATGTGAGCTGTAGCTGAAAATTCGTGGTTCTTATGGCGGCTGTTGGTGTAATGGTGTAAATTTTGAAAACGGCGTAACTTATTTATTTTATAATAATTTTAAGCTTTTATTCATTTATTTTTTTTATTTTTACATTGAATTTATTTGAATGTAAAGTTGTGCAAAAGCTAAATATCTAAAGGTAATTGGTATTGTCTTCAGGAAATATAATCTTCGTTGTATACGTACTCATCCCCTAGGTATAAAAGTCAAGATCACAGGTATAAAAAAGAAACTACAATGTGTTGAATCGGAACCTACCTAACTAATTAAAACCAAAGATTTAAGTAAACTTAAGGAGAAAAATCTATTCAACTCTCTAATAAGGAAAATCCCAAAGGCTTGGTAGCCATCATAATGAAGTAATGAAATTGGGTTGTTAGCGGAATGCTTAAATAAAACAGCAAAAAAAGGTTAGGAAGTTCTTTAGTGGGAATGACACTGATGAAGACTGCACATTGCAGTCAAAATACGTATCTGTCATGTATACCAAAATTAATTAAGTGGAATTAAATGGAAGATAACCTTTTTTTGCTGTTTTATAAACGCTCAAGAAGTTTTGTCATAAGACACCAATTTTCCCGGAATGTCTCTGGACATCCCTGAGGTTTTCTATGCTGCTATGAGGTTCCTTAAATATTCAAAATTCCATGACGCTTATAGAGTTTTCGGATTTTTCATATAATTCTAGAATATCCCATTATTCCACGGATCATTTTGAAAGTCTCTGCAAATTTCCTTAATTTAATGGGATTGCTCTAAAGCTACATGATCGTCCTCGATGTACTCGGAATTTCGCTGAATATCATAAAACTATCTAAAAGTTTCTACATTTCATTAAAGGCATCTGTAATTTTTTTTTAAATTAATGTAACTACCATGAAGTTCTCTAATCAACTAAGCTGCATTTTCGACAATTTATAAAGTTCTTGAAATTCCCATGATAATCATATAAAATTCATAAAATAATCTCACATTTCCTTATCTTAACATAACTTGTTTTACTTTCTAGAAGTTCTCTGGGAGCTTTTCTGAAGATTTCAAAATTTCCCTGATTTTCTCGAAATTTCTGTAAGTTTTCTGCAATTTCCTTGAAATAATTTGAACTTCCGTTTGGTTCTCTGATCTGTTCCTCCTAAACTCTTTATACCATCCTGATGTTTTCTGGACCTCTGTGAATATTCCGAAATATTTCTGATTTTTTCATAATTTCTCTGAAATTTGCATACGTTCTCTGAAGGTCTCTATACTTTCCTGAAATGTTTAGCATATCTTCCTGAAGAACTTGGAGTTGTCATGAATTTATCTAATCTCACGCTAATTGATTTTTAAAATCCTCAAAAACGCTGGAATTTCCTGCAGTTACGGGTAATGGCCATAAGATCTCTTAAATTCACCAAAGATCTCTAGATCTAGCTTTTCTGAGGAACTGAGAACTTCTTAAAAGTTTTCACAGTTTTTCTCAAACTATCTCCACATCTATGAATTTCTTTGGACTTTAAAGAACATTCCTGAAATTCTAAGAACTTCTTCAAAGTTCCTGCAGTCTTTAAAAACTTCAAATCGGTTCCATCAGCTTATGGAACCGATTTGAAGTTTTAAAGATTCCCCATATTTTCAACATGTTTTAAGAACTTCCCTTATGTTCCCGCGGCTTGTTTATTAAGCTGCTCAGAAATTCTAATCATTACCTTTTATTCCTCAGATCTTCCTACAATTGATGTAAAGTTAATGGGACTTCACTGAACATCTGTAACATTTCATACTTCCATAATTATTGCACTTTAAAAATGTTCAATAACTCTTGAACTTGTACTTGATATATGAATCTTCAAACCGTTGAATATTTTGAGATCTTCAACTTACTAAATTTGATTAAATATTAAACTTCAACATTTAATGGGTTTGATTGTAAAGCTGTTTCCTTAAAACTGATTGTAATGTCTTAACATTGATTGCGTTAATTGCCATTGTTGTTGTTTTTCCAAAAATATAAAATTTGTGATGTAGGGAAATGATAAATAGCAGATTTTCAGCGATGTGCCCAATCTTAGATCCATGGACCAACATTTTATGTAAACCTGCGTTAAATATCTGAAAAACGCAGGGAATTTTATTTAGCCAAACGAGAAGACGTATGAAGTTTAATTCATTCATAGAATGTGTTCCAGAAAAAAAAGAATAATAATATTCCTAAAGCTTGATTGCATTTCTTTAACGTATATAAATTGTGCAGTAAAACAGAGGCGAACCAGCCTCAGGCTGAAAGCCTCCCTAATAAAGAAAATTTAACTTAACTTGTGCAGTGAAACATTCCGATATAATCATAAACATAAAGGGTGAGACGTACACAAACATGTCATGTAAAATTTAGTGTTTCGAGACTGAAAAGTTCATTACTCGACGAAAATTACGTTCGATTGAGCTGAATTTTGTGTCTGTAATGACTCAATTTTATGTCAAAATTAACGCTCGTATATGTCAGTCTCAGAGCACCTAAATTTATATGAATGTTTAAAAGAGTGTATGCTGATGGTTTGTGACCTTTATCAGACACGTATTTCATGCAACCCTAAGCCTAACCTCCTCATTTATGATTAAAAGCGACTCGGTTAAGTATTTTCGTTACAAAGTATGTGTCATATTTACAAGAAATATTAATTCCTTATAACAACAAAAATGTCACGGTTACAATCTGTCACAACTGATTGCACCCCTAACCTTTCCATATTTTACCTAGTATAAAGAACCCCCATTAATATTTTTTTACGATCAAGACATATACGCCACCTGATAACCATCTCCGGACCCACAACTGCACGGCAGCCGTTTGCAAATTTGACATTGGACCGGAAAATGAAGATTGACAGCTGAAAGGAACCCTCTACTATACTGTCATCGCGACTCTTCACCGCAGCAACACCGAATCTTGCGTAATCTCACCCAACATCTTTATTATAAACACGTTCGATCGCCATTATCGCGAGGTGTCCGGTTGAATTAAAACAATTTACTTCTTACTGCGAGAAGCGATGCGCAGAATTACGAAATGACCCCAGCCGCGATCTGACCCCACTACGCGTCCTGACGTTCATTATTTGATTATTTTACGCAATTTAAATTCTCCATTCGTACTACGCGATGCCTGGCATGGCACATAAGACATCGGACATAAGACTTGTTTAAATTAATTTAAATAGCAACCATATAAGGAACGCACTCTCTGTGCTCCTCGGTTGGATTGTCTCCGAAACGAACGAAAGGTTGTGCCTTATTAGGACCAGCACATACCAGAAATATTATCCTTTATGGCAATAATAATAATCATAGTAATAACCACCCAAGTCACCACGTCCATGTTCAATGCGACACCTTGGCGAATTCCAATGCGAGAGAAAAAGGCAATAATAAAGATTCTCCCCTTGTTGCTGTCTGGGTAATGATTTTTTACTTGATCCGTAAATTATGCAACCGGGGCCGAAATTATTAATCATCCTTTAAAACTCGGAACTGAACATCGGATTTCGATAGCCACTCTTCTTTCTTCTTTCCTTTATTTAACGTCGGTCTCTGTTCCGCAATCTATTGCCAATCACCGACGGACATCGATTGCCATCCATTGACGACAATCGAATATGCAGGAAGGCAGCTTCCACAACTGCGTAGGATATCGCACCCATTCACAACACACATGGGCCGGGACCAACGGCTTACTTCCCTTCCGAAGGAAGACGTGACCAGAGATTTTTATGCCTCAGAAAAATCCCACCGACCTCGGCTGGGATTGAACCCAGACCCATTGGGGTGAGAAGGTAGTCACGCTTACCACTACACCACCGGCCCCAGCTCGATAGCCACTCAACGCACGAATCGATGTGACATTAATCGGGATGGTGAGAGATGTGAAGGAGACGATGACCATGGTCACGCAACGGCCTCGATCATGGTCGGTGTTGTAAAACGGCGTGATAAACGACGACTTGCCAAACGGAGGCTGCAGACTGTAGGTCAGCACTTCAACTTGGCTCGTGTTGCTGTAGGTCCAGGGAAATAACCCAACGAACTTGAAATTCGGTGGCACTCATCGGTAACTTTATGAGGTGGAAGAGTGGGTAATCTGAGAACACAATTAGCTCAAAGGGCATATGAAGTGTAAATCGAAAATGTATACAGCCACTTTATGACCACGTGCTGCTGGTACGTTGAATGTTGTAGCATGCCATGCATCATTGTATCGTCATCGTTTA